CCCTAACCCTTCAAAAGACATTCTGGACCTGCAGGGTCCTCCCGCTTGCCCCAGTAAGTGCGCGTGATGTTGGTGACCAGAACTCGGCAGCAGGGACCAATCCCTATTTCAACATGTGCCCCACAGTTGTTGAATGTCCTGATATTTGGGGTTTAATATCAGGAGGAAGGGATGACAAGTAGCACACGTGCACTCTCACAATCCCCTGTGCCTCAAGCATCACTAGGCCGTGCCTTTTGCAGGGCAAGCTGCAATCATCATCCAGGACTCGAGGAGTGTTTTGTGCATCACATCCTGGGTAGAAAGTGTTAATTCTTACCTTTGTTTCTCTTCTTTTACAAGCAATGAGTTGTTACTTTCTGAATACAAAATGCAGTTATGACCGCCGCTCCTGAAACTACTATAGCAAAAGTTTCTCTAGCCTGCGTGCTGTGTCTCACTTCTATTCGGCACGAATTAGCAGAGGTCAGAGAGCTAGGCACAGCCCGTGCTCGCTGTAAATGTTCAGCATTCGTATGCATCCTGCAGTATCACAGAGTCATTCATGTTGGTGGCTTCGACACTGAACAATGGCAACAAGGTTAAATGAGCGCAGACGGTTCCCTATGTGTGCCAAATCAACAACAGCCACAAAAACAGACATGAGATGAGCTATTGGATCTTCTGGTTCACATCGGTGTCCCGGGACAATGAAAAGAACATGACACGACCCAACGAAGCAGACATGCGCGCAATAGAGCAAATGGCTCCCTGACTGTTCAAAATCGAAAACAGAAACAATGAACACGAGCTCTTGGATCTCTTGGTTCACAGGGATGTCCCAGCACAATGGCAAGAAAGTGAAATGCCCGCGACAACCATGCTGGAAATAGGGCAAATTCTTGATTCCCGCAGCAACAAAAACAAGCTTGCGAACATGAGCTATTGGATCTCCTGGTTCACGGCGTGACCCAAGACAATGACCAGCACGGAAACGGACGTGCCGGACATAGAGCAGATGATTCCCGGAGTGTACCAAATCGAAGACAGAAGAAGCCATTCGAGCATGAAACGTTGGATCTCCTGTTTCACAGGGTTGACCCAGGACAATGACAAGAACGCGAAACGACCAAAATGAAAGAGACATGCGGGAAATTAGAGGAAATGGTTCCCGGAGTGTCCAAGGCACTAGGCTGGCTGTAACGCCGCGTCTTTTTTGCAAACCAAGCAAGAAGCAAGAGGTTCAGGGCTCAGGGGGGACCGTCGCTGATGAGGTTCAATGTAGCGACTGTTGCCCTCGATGATCGTCTTGTTCAGGACCCGGACTGCGATCTCCTGAGCTTAGGGTTTAGTTTAGGGGTTTAGAGTTTTTTAAAGTCTCGGGTTTGCGGGTCTTGGGTTTCGGGCTTTTGCTAGTTTGCTTTCCCAAACTTCAGATACCCTTAAAATCCCACGGAGTCCCAAGTAACGTGGTATAGGATCCCGGAAAAGCAACCTGCAATGTCAGAGCCGTTTTGGGAAGCCCCCATGTAAGTTGCTTGCTCAGGTCCTCTGCTCACACTTTCCCTATGAGGTTCAATGCGTGTAGCCGTGGAGGGCTCGGCCGAGAGGCAGCTATCTCCAGGGAGCTGTAGGTCACAAAGGCAGATCCTTTGGAGATCCACCAGACGTTCACCTTGCTGCAAGACTGTGGATGCAGGGAGGAGCTTACCTCAGTAAGTCGAATTTGGGACGCAGAGTCGAACGGGCGCCAGGAGAGTTGGGAAAGATTCCTCCGCCTGAGGTCGCCCCGACAATCATGTCGTCGGAGCCGCCGTTGGTCAACTGCGAGAAGTGCACGAACACATCGCCCGAACCATCAGAGTTCTCGATGAAGCTGTAGCCCTTGCCACGCATGAAACTCGTCAAAAGTTCCTGTGTGAGCCATTGAGGGCGATGAAGGGCAGTACCAGCTTGAACTCTGAATGGTCTACGGAGTCTATGGCATCCGGTGGAAGGGTTGGGCTCGCTTCGCCTTGTCTCTGCACCCTAAGATGTAACCCCCCCCCACTGCCTTCCCCTCCCGAGCAAGGGTTGAGGCCCACAGCCCTTCAAAGCTCAAAACAGGTTCAGGGTGTTTGTTCTAATTGTTTGTTTTATCATTTTTTGTTAGGGGGTGGGAGCGTTTTAGTATTACGGGGGGGTGAGGGGTTTCCGCTTTAGGGGTGACAGGGCTCGCTTCTGCTTAATTTGGATTGGGATCAGCCTTACATGCAAGCAAAACCCTAAACTCTGAACCCCCTAAACCCTGTCTCGATCTTTTTTTCGCGGCCCCCGCACAGGTCTGCGTACGTCCGGTAGGTAGGCCTTGTTTCAGCGCGAGGGGAAAACTTCTTTAACGTCTGCTTGTTCTGGCCTCTTGTCCCGGCATCTTATATAGGAACTATTGTTTAGTTTTATGTATATATGTATGTATATGTATACAAAACCCAAAGGAACATATGCATGTGTATATATATACACATACATATATTCTTTTCGTTTGTCAAGGTCCTAAGGAGAGCGTAGAGAACAGAAGAGTTACCTGACTTAGCTCGAACATCGCTCGGTGCAGCAAACCGTGTTTGGGGGGTTGTAGGCTGCGGGTAACTAGCTGTTCTGTGGTTCACGGCCTATAGGCAAGGGAACTAAATTGGCAGGTTTGGCTCTTGGGGGGGGTTTCGGGTTTTGGGTTTGGAGTCTAGCTGCATCCTTTAGGGGCTCGCAAAATATACAGAGACCTCCCGCTCCCCACCCCCCCCCCCCTCCCCAGGGTCCACGGCAGAGGCATGTCCAAGATTTCGGAGCATTTTTTGCCGTCAAAAGAAGGGATTGAAAGTGTCCTCTGAGGGGCCAAAACGAATTGGCATTGTTCGTCCTGTTCTTTTGTTGGGGGGCGGGGGGTGGGGGGCAGGGGCAGCTCCAAAAATGAGGACGGATGAGTTTAAGCATGCCTATGTGCGTCGCATCACGTCTGGAACTTGGCGAAGATGGGGCCAACCTATAAGATTCGCATTCTTGACTCGAGCACGAGCACCCCTCGTTCCCAAAACCCACCACAAGGAGCCTACGAAGAATAACTATAAAAAAGGGACTTATCAAGTAAGTTCGCATACTTATATCCCAACTTTTAAGCCCGATACGATAAACCATTATAAACCTAATTATTACCGGGGGGGTGGCCTCCTTTGTGCGGGTTCCTTATTAAAATATATTCTCCGTATTTAGGATACTAACCCCTCCTCAGGCCCGACGCATCTGGCACGCATTGTGGGCTGCTGCTCGTGTTTGGCAGGGGGCCTCTACTCGAGTCCAAACCTACTTTATCTTTGGTAGGTTGCCTAAGAAGTCTAGGTTGTTTTAGATACCGACAAGCAGATAGGTTCTACGTTTTTCAAAGGGGTTCACCTAGAGTAAGCGTGTACAACAAATAACTATACATTGCTTTTAATGGCATATGTCTCTTTACGGGACATAGGTTGCTCTAGGCGAAGATGCTTTTGAACACTCTGCGGGGTACCTACTTCTCATAAATTATGACAACCCTTTAATTTTGCAACACAGCAGGATACAGCGTGCATCAGCGTGCTGCAACGTGCCTGGTGACAGCGTGGCGTAGCTGACGCCATCCGGTCTGCTCACCTTGAAGCAAGGCCAACACAAAACATTTGGAAAGGTTGCACGGGCCTCGGCTGCCACTGCCGGGGGCACAAGCCGGCAAAGTGGAGGGGCAGAAGCTGTGAAGTGAACCGTCAACTCAAGGCGGGCCAGTTTCAACAGTCGAAGCCCAGAACATGTTGAGGATCGATGCACATTTCTGGTCAATACAAGTTTTCTGAAGCCGCTGTTTTTCAATGAAGCTAATTAAGAATTGGGTTCCCCGGCTAGATCTATCGGGGTACACGCACCTCAGTCCGTTTTCGGACCTCCAACCTTTGCGTTTTTTCAGGGGAGGCACCCATTCCCCGGTGCCGAGGCGGGCGACGCGCAGCGTTCAAAATACTTCTTCTACTATACGAAACTCACTATACCTGCTGTACAACAACTTTGAACTCTGACCTGCAAGCCTCGAAAGAAGTTCATGTCAAACGACTGTCTTCTACCCGACTCAACTCATTACAGTTCTGCAACTACATGACAACGACCAAGGTATGTAGCATTGCTATGTCGTAGCATCCTGCCTTCCCAGCGAAAATCGAACCACTGGCTCGGGACGCGCTGCCTCAGATGGCGGGCGGCAGCGGAAAGATGTCTACTGTTGGGGGCTTAGCCCTCTAGACTAGGCCTAGAAGCGTTCAGGGCTTGGGTTCAAGGTGTTTTGTTTTAGAGTGCAGGAAGACAATTTTTGCTGTAGTATGTTTGTGCGATGCCTCTCCTCTAGAATAGCGCTGCTTTACCCTCTGCAAGGTGCTACACTCATGGTGCAAGCTGCCCTTTTTTGGTCATACGGAAACGCTACAAAACTCCTCGGAGACTTGCCATATTCTTTGGAACGCAAGGCTCCAGGGCCTGCTTCAGAGAGGGACAACACGAAACGTCCGACGCCCCCACTGAGCGAGGCCTAGTTAATATGATTGTATACACTCTGGAACATTTTGCTTTACACATGACCTCTTCACCCCTAAATCCTAAATCATGGACCCCGAACCTTTGGTCTAGAACATTAGACTCTAACCCTCCACCATTTCTTCTGGTCCCGTAGGCTTGATAGGTGCTTGGCACCAACACGTGGACCCAGGTGGAAGATTTGCTCGACTCTGAGAGGCGGTTCTCATGGTAGAATAGTGGCGGAGTATACTACCGCAGATACAAAAAGGACAAACATGCGTACGACAAGGTGACCCATGCGTCGCACACTATTGTATTCAAAACTAGGATAGTGAACTGCATACATGCATATGTACACATATCTATCTATCAGTCCGCAGCAATGAAAATTTGTAAGTGGCAGGTATACTACGGAACACGCCTCACTGAAAACAGAATTTAAAAAGGTGGTCTGATCACAGCGACACTCGGGCCTTAGGACTTGGCTCTTCATCGTCTTCGCAGCACTGTGGCGACAGACCCTCTACCGGCGGTTGGGTGGACGGCATCTGGGCCTCTGGTCCTTCTGTACCTTCTTTGGTGGCCGTGGTGACGGAAGTGTCCCCCCTATTTGAACTGGAAGCTTCGGGCGCGCTGTCATCCACCAGCCGTATGTCCAAATCGTACTCCTCGACCAAGTGGCTGGTGAACATCCATATGCTCCTGGTTGGTTCACGTTCATCCGGATTACGCTATCCTATACTCTACTATCCTATACTATGCGATACTATACTCCACTACACCTACTATGCGGTACTTTAACATGAGCAGTATATGCGCTGCAAGGCATTGCTCTGCGACACTGATGCTCCAGCCCATGCTGATGATTTGCACGATCATCTCAAAGGCCGTCTCGACTGAGTTGGAGGCGGAGTAGGCCTACATCATGCTGCAGATACAGTATGCTATACTTTACGATACTATGGTATCGCATACTGTCTAGTATGCACAAAACAATCCCGAAGGCCGTGAAGAAGGCGCAGAAGAATGCTGCTGAGCGCTTCTCTTCCTTAGATTCAACAGGTGGGCCCACGACAGGTTATCCCAAGGGTTGTGGACAGCCTCTAAACTAGACAGGTCTCAAGCAACAATTAAACTTGGACCCCACTTTCGGTGATCGCCTGCGCCAACGCAGGCCCTTTCGCTTTTCCCGCAGTGCCAAAAGACCGTTGGCTGCGCATGGCAAACATTAAACAAAAAGTCACAGACAACTAACCAGAAAACGTCATGAAATGCAAAGCAAGACGTCTTTCAGGAAGTCCAGAACATCTTGTCGCAAGATGCCACGATGTAAGCTGGCACTTACCGCCTGGAAAGGGTCGGTCACACACGCGCGCGAACACACTAGACGGGCTGCGCAAACCATTAAGAACATACAGGACCCAAGTCCCTGTAGTTGAGCGTGCTTTTATGGAAGGGCTTTCAGCATGAGGGTACAAGACCATACAGTATACCATCTACTGTATGTAGAAAAGTAGACAAGAGACAGCATGCCATACTTATACCCCGTAGTGTTTCGTGTTACGGTACTCGGTGATATAAAAACACGACCTAAGCCGTTGCCTCTCGCCAGCGCCAGGGCGGTACTCTCGTCAGCTGCTTGACAGCACTTCGCACCACGACGAAACCCATCACAAAGCCCAAATAGAAGTCCTTCAACAAGAATGCGATTCGAGTGTAGCTGGAGGAAGTGCGGTCTTTCTTGAAGCAGGGCATTGAGGCCCAGAGGAGAACAAGGCGTTAAGGATCTGCTTGCAGGTTCCTTCGCAAAGCCCGGGCTTGAAGGTTTGCCCCTTCATGTGCTACACGGCCTGTGAAATCTAAGTGTATAGTATGTCATGTAGTACTCTAGAGCTGAGGATGTTCATGATCTGCAGGTTCGATTTAGGGGTCAGGGTTCAGTGTACTTGTTTCATCGCTGCCGGATGATGCTAGGATCTCACTTGCCGACGGTCCTGCCGATAGATGAACTTCACAACGGTGTTGATGTCCAAGGCCATCTAAGAACGGTGTTCAAAAGGCTATAAAACACAACTTTGCTTAGAGCATGTTAAAATATCCGAGACAAAGCAAAAGAATCTTGTTTAACAAGCACTGGCCACGTCGATCACCGTCATCGCCACATCTTGATAAAGCCCACTGCCTAGCCACTGCAATGCTTCAGCGCGCTAAGAGTCAAACTGCGAGTTTGTACTGCACAACAGACTGTGCCCTATGCTGGACAACCCTTCTGCGCGTTTAACCTGATAGCGGTTTCAGACTCGGGGGGCTCCAAGCCTACGAGGCCTGGAATGAAAGGCTTTCGGAGACCTGCGCTAAGATTGGCTTTCTCATTAGAGGGCTCCTAGATGTATCAGAGGCGCCCAAGGTGGCACGATACGTCTGAGCCCCGAAGGTTACATGTTATGCCACGTCTTGTTAGGTGGGTTCGCCATCCCATCCACTTTGCATAGACACATCATTGGTGCGAGGCTTAGCTCAGGGTACACAATGCATTGGGCGTGTCCAAGCAACAGCAAACTTCGAGTATGCGCCATTGCGTACTGCATCATTGCTAGGTAGTGCTCGTCATGTCTTATGGGCAGAGAACACTGCTGCAGACCAGCAGTATACTGAAGTAGTTTGCAAGAGATATATGCTACAGCATCGCCTGCGAGACAACCTCCTATGCATTGCCGTTGTCATTCGAGCGCTGCCTTTGCAAGGCCACTGACAGGCGACGATGGGTTTGATCCTTTCATCGACCTCGCCGAATTGTGCCGGTTCCTTGCAGGGTTTAGTGAAACAATTTCTTGCACACCTTACCATCCCTTGCACAATGACTTAGGGTCTACTCCTCAAACCCTGAAAGTGCCCTGAGCTGTTTTCCGCCGACCTTTTGGAGGAGCTCCCTGGCAGCATTCATGATCTCACAAGCTTGCTCCTCGCAGGGTAGGGTTTCAGGGTTTAGGGCAGTCTAAGGTCTAGGGGGGGGGATTCAGGTTCGGGGGAAGGAGGATAGCTTAAAGATTAGGATTCAAGGGTCTTGGGTGGGAAGGAGCTTGGAGTTCGGGGCTGAGCACCTGCTCACGTGGACCCGGGCCACTTGTGTAGATCTGCTGCCGCTTCGCGCAAAACCGCTGATAACAGCCCCAGAGCACGGCACAGAAGAGATAAACCGTGTACGCGGTCGTGTTCAGATAGGAGAATTTCACCAGGGTCGCTTCATTAATCGACTCTGCAGTCCAAGACTCTGGTGCCCAACCAAAGGGCCAGTCGTCTTGCAACCTGCTGTTGCGCCACTGGCCAGTTACTTTCTCTGCGTACCAGGAGTCGTAGTGCGGGTTCGCCATGAAGGAAAACCAGCTTGCAGGAAGTGTTCCCTCAGTAAGTTGGTGTTCCATCCATAATGAGATGCCCCACACCACAATCATACGGAAGAGGGCCGCAACCTGGCTTGGCAGGCCGTCTGTTGTAAGCGCCAGAATAGGGCGATGCAGCACCGTCTTGCATCCATGGATGGCAGCTCCGGGAACCACGTAGAGCAGGGCCACCACTGGTAGCCAAACTACCCAGTTTGCCAGCATCAGACAGAAGCCGACAAAGAACACGGCGACGCAAACCTCGTTCAACCGGAGCAGCCTGCGAAGCAGAACGCAGCGCACAAAGACTGGGGCCACCAGCTTCTTGGCACCCTCCAGAAACGGGTCTTCGGCAACCTCCGGCTGCTGTTGACATTTGACAAGACGCTGCTCTATGTACACGTCTATTGCGGCTGCGATCACAGCAGCAGCAGGCACCAGCCAAGTACGCCAATCCTCCAGTACATTGATGCTGTCTTTCGGGAGCAGCTCCTCCAAGAATGCTTTCGCCGCTTCATCCTCAAGCAGTTCTACGAGCGGTGTTCCTTGCGGCTGAGCCCCGACATCCCCACCGCACTGCAGCCAAAGCTGCAGCTCGGGCAACGAGAAGCGGCCAGGCTGAGAACACCTCAAGCTCCTAGCAGCATTCTGCCAGTCAGGACTGGAGGTCCCGCTGTTGTTGCAACCCATACTTACAACAAAACGGCAATCGAGGCTTTGGTCAGAGTCGGCTTCAGGCCACTGCAGCAGCAGAAACCCTGCCATTTCCCAATGCTCATAGTCAACTGCCACACTTAACGGCGTGTTGCCGGAAGAGTCCGTGGCACCCAACCCTTCAGGCCAGCGCTCCAGTAGAAGTTCCATGACCTCTGGGCGTTTCCATCATGCTGTTTTGGACTATAACTCTACACTCGAACTAGAATACTGCCGCCTTGTTTTATCTTACAAACACGATGCGCCTATTCTCTACGAGCTTCCTGATGCTGGAGTAAATGGAGTACAAGAGCACAAGAAGCTCAACTAAGCGATTCCGCTATACAACCGTCTGCCATTCTTACACCTTGCGCACGCAGGCACGGCGGCATAGAGTGGTTAAAGGACCTCTGCATAAAGCCGTAGCTACAGTGCTTGTGGCCCATATCAGTCATCGCGTGTTGTAGCTACGAGTAGAATGCTGCACCTCCAGGTGGCCATGAACAGCTGCCTCGTGCAGAAGCGTTTTGCCTGAGCTGTTGTCATAAAGCCCTTCCGGCCAGTGATCCAGCAGGACTTTGAGGGGCTCTGCGTGGCCACTCCGTGCAGCCCAATTTAGAGGTGTTTCTCGAGCGGGGGTAGTGGCATGAATCCCAGCGGGCCACGCCCCGATTAGCAGCTGCAAAATGTCGGTGTGGTTTGCGAGCGCCGCCTCGTGTAGCACCGTCTCTCCAGAGTCACCACGTATGGTGCTAATGTCTAACAGATCCGAGTCAAGCACCTTTGAGACTTCTTGCGTGTCACCTTGTGCCACAGCGCTCCACAGATCTTCACTGGTGGCTGCCCATCCGCACGAGACACACAGGGCGCACAGGGCGCAGACTAAGCGGAACATTCGGAGGTGCGTTGCAGCTCTGTGAAACCGCCATTAAAAACTGTACTGAGCCCCGCGGCTTCTTATTTCGGCACAAGTCATGCCACAGGCATATGCGGAAGACGGAGTGTCGCCTCTCCGAACATGCTCAATTAGGCGGTGTATCGTCTGAGCCAGGCACGTTCGGCATGCCTACCCGCTTTGCACACACGAAGGTTGGTGGAAGAGTTTGTCCTCCAAAGACAGTAGTGTCACATCTGCCGAAACATACCTCACATGACCTCACACTCGTACTTTCGAGATCTGAGCTGTTGGATCCGAAGCAGCGGGGTATAGCGGGATGCTGGCAGCAAAAAGGCAAAGGACGTCCTCGCCTTGGTGGTCCAGGAGTCCAGATGCCAGAGCTGGTGCTTCTGGAGAACTTCCTGCAGGGACTTCCTGCAGGTGGTATTGGTCAGGGACTTCGTGGGCTGGTGTTGCGTTACCCGCAGTACCCATGCTGTCGAGACTGTGTCTTGTCACGAGTCGTTGGCATGGTAGACTTCTTGTCGCGTAAGAGATCTCAGGTGTACTACTCTTGCTCGTACAAGTATGGAGGGTTGAGCAATGTTGAGCAAATGAGGGATTTTCTGTCAGTGCTCCACGGACGCTCTGCAACCCGACCCATTTCGGGCCCCAAGCCCCAAGCCCTTGAAAGGCTGTCCCTACGCAGATGCCCTGCAGGAAGCAGCTCAGGCCCAAGCAGTTGGGATTGAAATCGGGCTGATCGAGTGTGCGCATCACCTCCTTGTGCAGCGCTGGGCTACAAGGGCAAGGAGGCTTACAGCATCCACCATAAAGTCGCATGGAGATGCACAGAGGGTTCGGTAGTGTTTGTATAGCTCTGCTTCAAGGCGCAACATTGTCGTTAATCGCTAACGACTCCACCATCTGCACTGTACAGTTCAAAAAATTAAGTTGGCAAGAAATCCATGTGACCCTCAACGGGTCCAACAATTCGACGCCAGAGCGCCTGGCCAAAAACTCTCATCAGCGCTGCGACGCTGCCACGACATCCTTGAAGGTGTAGAAGCCCTTTGCAGCGGCAGCTGCATCAAGAGGGTTCACCTCGGAGAACATGTTGTTGGGAACGGATCCATCCACAATTGTGGCCATCGAGTTGTACACATCCATCACGGTTGCCTTGGGCACTGATGCGACAATGCGCCCGATGGCTGCGTTCACTGCCTCGTTAGATGATGTTTAGCGTCGGCTGGCACCCCCAGCGATACCTAGCCGACTGGGGGTGCCAGTCGACGCTAAACATCATCTAACGAGCAGACGTCACTCCCGTGGCATCGACGCTGCCAATGGCCTTGTGGTGCGCTTCAGCGGCAGCCTTCAACAGGTTTCCGTCCATCTGGCTTCCCATCACGATCATCTTGTCAATGGCTTTCATCACCTTCGGGGCGGTGGTGTCTGGCAGCGGCTTCAGGTAAACATCGGACAGCCAGTCCACCTGAGGGCACGGCACTCACACATGCTCGGTCAAAGGAACCCATTGCCAACCCCATGAAACTAAATGAAGTTTCTCAATTATCTCCAGCAAGGGTTTGCAATCCTGCACCTCTTTCAGGAAAGGGTAAGATGCATCCGAAAGGGCCTTAGCCGCCGCACCAATCTTGTCCCCAGTGGGCACAGTGGCAGGAGCACCGACTGCAGACTTTTGGTTCCTTGGATTTGTTTAAGGAGTTCATTTATAAAGGATACCAGGAATAGAAGCGCCGCAGATACAGAAATATGCTGGAATGCTGGGAAAGTCAAAAACAGATCTGAATCGATCCGATGCTCTTCTCCACCACGTCCTTGAACTCCAAGAAGCCCTTGTATGCCTTCTCGGCATCGGCACCATTGACCAAAGACTTCATGTACGCGGGCACACCAGGGTCAGTGATGTCCTTCACGGCATTGTAGACGTCCATGACCTTTGCCCTGGGGACGGACGCCACAACGCGGCCCAGAGCTGCGTTCACCGCATCCCAATCCGCTCGAGAAGTCACACCGTTGGCACCTGAGATGCTTCCGATGGCCTTGTGATGGGCCTCCGCCGCGGCCTTCAAAAGCTTGGGGTCTGCGGCAGCTCCCATATCAATCATCTTGTCAATCGCCTTCAAAGCTTGGAGAGGTTGGAACTTACCAGGAGCTTGCAAGAAGATGCCGTTGTTCCAGTCCACTTCCTTCGCGAAGTCGTAGGACGCATCACCAAGCTTCTTTGCAGCATCGCCAATTTCGTCGGCGAAAGCAGCCGGAGCCATCATCATGCCGGCTGCGGATGCAGCTGCCACTGGGGCAGCCGTCCTGCGAAGCGGCCCTGGCACGAATCCGGAGCTGGAGAGGCCGCATGCCACCAGTGCAGCTCCAACAACGCAAGCGGTGACCTTCCTCGTGGAGCGCGCCATTCGCAAGAGAGCAAGAGGATCTACTCTTGGTCAAGAGTATGCTCAAGGCCAAAAATGCTTTGCGAGTGGTCGGTTTGGGTTTGTGATTTCGGGCCCCAAGCCCCAAGCCCTTGAAAGGCTGTCCCTACACAGATGCCCTGCAGGAAGCAGCTCAGGCCCAAGCAGTTGGGATTGAAATCGGGCCGATCGAGGGTGCGCATCACCTCCTTGTGCAGCGCTGGGCTACAAGGGCAAGGAGGCTTACAGCATCCACCATAAAGTCGCATGGAGATGCACAGAGGGTTCGGTAGTGTTTGTATAGCTCTGCTTCAAGGCGCAACATTGACGTTAATCGCTAACGACTCCACCATCTGCACTGTACAGTTCAAAAATTAAGTTGGCAAGAAATACATGTGACCCTCAACGGGTCCAACAATTCGACGCCAGAGCGCCTGGCCAAAAACTCTCATCAGCGCTGCGACGCTGCCACGACATCCTTGAAGGTGTAGAAGCCCTTTGCAGCGGCAGCTGCATCAAGAGGGTTCACCTTGGAGAACATGTTGTTGGGAACGGATCCATCCACAATTGTGGCCATCGAGTTGTACACATCCATCACGGTTGCCTTGGGCACTGATGCGACAATGCGCCCGATGGCTGCGTTCACTGCCTCGTAGTCCGCAGCAGACGTCACTCCCGTGGCATCGACGCTGCCAATGGCCTTGTGGTGCGCTTCAGCGGCAGCCTTCAACAGGTTTCCGTCCATCTGGCTTCCCATCACGATCATCTTGTCAATGGCTTTCATCACCTTCGGGGCGGTGGTGTCTGGCAGCGGCTTCAGGTAAACATCGGACAGCCAGTCCACCTGAGGGCACGGCACTCACACAAACAAATCAGCATGCTCGGTCAAAGGAACCCATTGCCAACCCCATGAAACTAAATGAAGTTTCTCAATTATCTCCAGCAAGGGTTTGCAATCCTGCACCTCTTTCAGGAAAGGGTAAGACGCATCCGAAAGGGCCTTAGCCGCCGCACCAATCTTGTCCCCAGTGGGCACAGTGGCAGGAGCACCGACTGCAGACACTTGGTTCCTTGGATTTGTTTAAGGAATTCATTTATAAAGGATACCAGGAATAGAAGCGCCGCAGATACAGAAATATGCTGGAATGCTGGGAAAGTCAAAAACAGATCTGAATCGATCCGATGCTCTTCTCCACCACGTCCTTGAACTCCAAGAAGCCCTTGTATGCCTTCTCGGCATCGGCACCATTGACCAAAGACTTCATGTACGCGGGCACACCAGGGTCAGTGATGTCCTTCACGGCATTGTAGACGTCCATGACCTTTGCCTTGGGGACGGACGCCACAACGCGGCCCAGAGCTGCGTTCACCGCATCCCAATCCGCTCGAGAAGTCACACCGTTGGCACCTGAGATGCTTCCGATGGCCTTGTGATGGGCCTCCGCCGCGGCCTTCAAAAGCTTGGGGTCTGCGGCAGCTCCCATATCAATCATCTTGTCAATCGCCTTCAAAGCTTGGAGAGGTTGGAACTTACCAGGAGCTTGCAAGAAGATGCCGTTGTTCCAGTCCACTTCCTTCGCGAAGTCGTAGGACGCATCACCAAGCTTCTTTGCAGCATCGCCAATTTCGTCGGCGAAAGCAGCCGGAGCCATCATCATGCCGGCTGCGGATGCAGCTGCCACTGGGGCAGCCGTCCTGCGAAGCGGCCCTGGCACGAATCCGGAGCTGGAGAGGCCGCATGCCACCAGTGCAGCTCCAACAACGCAAGCGGTGACCTTCCTCGTGGAGCGCGCCATTCGCAAGAGAGCAAGAGGATCTACTCTTGGTCAAGAGTATGCTCAAGGCCAAAAATGCTTTGCGAGTGGTCGGTTTGGGTTTGTGATTTCGGGCCCCAAGCCCCAAGCCCTTGAAAGGCTGTCCCTACACAGATGCCCTGCAGGAAGCAGCTCAGGCCCAAGCAGTTGGGATTGAAATCGGGCCGATCGAGGGTGCGCATCACCTCCTTGTGCAGCGCTGGGCTACAAGGGCAAGGAGGCTTACAGCATCCACCATAAAGTCGCATGGAGATGCACAGAGGGTTCGGTAGTGTTTGTATAGCTCTGCTTCAAGGCGCAACATTGTCGTTAATCGCTTACGACTCCACCATCTGCACTGTACAGTTCAAAAAATTAAGTTGGCAAGAAATACATGTGACCCTCAACGGGTCCCACAATTCGACGCCAGAGCGCCTGGCCAAAAACTCTCATCAGCGCTGCGACGCTGCCACGACATCCTTGAAGGTGTAGAAGCCCTTTGCAGCGGCAGCTGCATCAAGAGGGTTCACCTTGGAGAACATGTTGTTGGGAACGGATCCATCCACAATTGTGGCCATCGAGTTGTACACATCCATCACGGTTGCCTTGGGCACTGATGCGACAATGCGCCCGATGGCTGCGTTCACTGCCTCGTAGTCCGCAGCAGACGTCACTCCCGTGGCATCGACGCTGCCAATGGCCTTGTGGTGCGCTTCAGCGGCAGCCTTCAACAGGTTTCCGTCCATCTGGCTTCCCATCACGATCATCTTGTCAATGGCTTTCATCACCTTCGGGGCGGTGGTGTCTGGCAGCGGCTTCAGGTAAACATCGGACAGCCAGTCCACCTGAGGGCACGGCACTCACACAAACAAATCAGCATGCTCGGTCAAAGGAACCATTGCCAACCCCATGAAACTAAATGAAGTTTCTCAATTATCTCCAGCAAGGGTGATGAACATGTGCAAGTGCCATCGACCCCAATTCTCTTCTTTGCAATCCTGCACCTCTTTCAGGAAAGGGTAAGACGCATCCGAAAGGGCCTTAGCCGCCGCACCAATCTTGTCCCCAGTGGGCACAGTGGCAGGAGCACCGACTGCAGACACTTGGTTCCTTGGATTTGTTTAAGGAATTCATTTATAAAGGATACCAGGAATAGAAGCGCCGCAGATACAGAAATATGCTGGAATGCTGGGAAAGTCAAAAACAGATCTGAATCGATCCGATGCTCTTCTCCACCACGTCCTTGAACTCCAAGAAGCCCTTGTATGCCTTCTCGGCATCGGCACCATTGACCAAAGACTTCATGTACGCGGGCACACCAGGGTCAGTGATGTCCTTCACGGCATTGTAGACGTCCATGACCTTTGCCTTGGGGACGGACGCCACAACGCGGCCCAGAGCTGCGTTCACCGCATCCCAATCCGCTCGAGAAGTCACACCGTTGGCACCTGAGATGCTTCCGATGGCCTTGTGATGGGCCTCCGCCGCGGCCTTCAAAAGCTTGGGGTCTGCGGCAGCTCCCATATCAATCATCTTGTCAATGGCCTTCAAAGCTTGGAGAGGTTGGAACTTGCCAGGAGCTTGCAAGAAGATGCCGTTGTTCCAGTCCACTTCCTTCGCGAAGTCGTAGGACGCATCACCAAGCTTCTTTGCAGCATCGCCAATTTCGTCGGCGAAAGCAGCCGGAGCCATCATCATGCCGGCTGCGGATGCAGCTGCCACTGGGGCAGCCGTCCTGCGAAGCGGCCCTGGCACGAATCCGGAGCTGGAGAGGCCGCATGCCACCAGTGCAGCTCCAACAACGCAAGCGGTGACCTTCCTCGTGGAGCGCGCCATTCGCAAGAGAGCAAGAGGATCTACTCTTGGTCAAGAGTATGCTCAAGGCCAAAAATGCTTTGCGATTGTGAAGGGCCGAGTTTGGGGCCGGCTGATATTGAATTTGCCCAGCCTCTACACCCTCAGGTCACACTTAGCTGTCAGGCCGGAAGAAGTCATCACATCTTAAATCCGCCTGCAAGGACGAGACCTTCTTGCCGCCAATGGCCGCCAATGCTAAAATCCCCAAGTCAAAGACTTTGCAAGTCAAAACCTCAAACTCAAGCTTCAAGAAAAACCACCAGCACAGCAACCACGCTCAAGACTTTGCACGCAGAACGTGTCTCCACGGGAAATACGGAGTGCTTGGCTGCGGCAACAGCCAATGCAGCCCAACAACTGAGAGGTTCTGCCCGACTGTGGCATGCAGCTGGCTTGGTCCACCATTGTGAACTCTACAGACTCTACAGTGTAGCGGCGCTCTGCCTCACTGGGTTTATGCTTCGTAGGGCTGCATGCTCGCAGTTCTGGTAGCCTGGCAAAATTTTGTTGCAACCAGGAAAGCAAAGTCCACTCTGATGCGTGACCTGATGAGCGGCGTGCTGCTGCACAGCCTCGGGAACTCGGCAAGTGCACGTCAAACTTTCAAAGATAGTACTCGATCTCAACCCCCGAAAACTAGCTTGATAGCCAGGCAGCTTTGTGAGGCTGGGAAGCGGAGTGCTTGCCACCAGCCTGTTTTGGGCTCAGGCAGATCTGTGCTGGTAACTCGTCTGCTTCTGCAAGAGGCAGGAGATACGTAGAGATCAGGGATGTCAACTTCGATGGGAGCCTGGTGAACCGGATGGTCGGCCGTTGCCACCTGCAAGCTTCATGACTGCCCTGCGGATTGGGGTTGGCATTATGGTTCCTCAGATTTTGAGAAGGCCAAACGGAAAAACCAGAGGTCACATGCGTGCGCATGTCATGCGGGATGTCTAGATTGCTGTCTCTTCAAAGCCAAACTCAAATTCAGTCCTGAGGGTACACATTTGTGGAAGGCAACGAGTCCCATGCCAGGCGTAGAGCGAAGAGAAGTTAACGTTTTGAGAACTCTTGCCAATTGTGGACCCCAGCTCGCAGCAGAGCGTGGTTTACAAGCAAACATGCAGGCATGCTTGTCCTGACAATTAGTGAGATGGCTATCCCTCAGTGTCTCTTCACATGTTTGTTTCGAATTTTGGCAACAAAGCTGGTGCAACACGTCAGCTGGCATCATGCAGGCTGCCAATTTAACTTCTGTGGCAGACCCGGTGCTTCGTATCGGTCCTCCATGCTGCGTGAAATATACGCCGTGTAGCCACAAAGAAGGACTTTACAGAGGAGCGCCCGTCCCGCCTGTGGTACAGGACCGTGGACAGGTGCCTGCATGATACAAGGAACCGGGCACTTCATGTGTCAAAAAAACACTAATCATGGTTTTGGGGCGGCACACGATTCGACGATACATCCACTTCGTGCCATTTCGTGTGCATGATGTCAAGGCCTGATGCGCCTGCTGGGCATGCGGCGCAAAAGTTCTTGTCCTGTTTCGTGTTCAGTGTACGAGGCGTTTAGGCGTTTAGCAAGCTGCGGCCATTGTTTTTGGTGACCACCGAAGATTCACAAGAGGCCTCTGAACACAAGTACCATCTTTGCAGTGCGACTCGATCTGCTTCATCCTCGCATCTCTGTTCTGCCCAGGCCCTGGTGGCGGCGGAATCTGCACAGCTTAGCTCGGCACTCTTCGTGGCCGTTGTTGTTGAAGTAGACATACGACTTCATGATGCCTGGAGGTGTACTATTGGGGTTTCGGGAAGGGTTGGCGCCTTAGGCGCCCGGGATGGCGGCTTCGCTTTGAGCAGCCACTGTGCAAAACGCATCTTTCGTGTGATGCCTTCGCTCTTGAGGCTTGCAGACGGCATGGCTGCATCTTGCCTGCGCCAAAGCAGTCAGTGTCCGCTGGCGTTCGGGGGGGGCTCTCTTCGGGAATCTGATGACTCATCATTGCGGCCCGACCCGATCAGCATGCTTTGCCTGACATCATCCGTCGGGGTGTAGCCAAAGAACCGCCGGGCCTGAGTGCAGACTGCACAAGCCTTGTGAAGCAATCGGAAGAGGCAACCTTTCTCCTCTAAGCGACGGGCCGAGTTTGCCACATTGTGCCTTGGCTGGCACAGGAAAGCGGACCGATGGCGGCCAGAACCCTCGTTCTCAACAAAGGCCATCGTGGGCCATCCTGCAAACGAAGTCAAAGAGAAAACAGACAAAACACTAGGAGTGGTGCTACGAGTAGCTGTCAAAAGCTCTCTGCTTCTGCTCTATGCTGGTCGCCAGGCGGCGCCAGGTTGTCGAAGCTGTCCCAGACCAGGCCAGGGCCCTGGAAGGGGCTGCCTTCGAGAAGCGCCGTCGCTCTCTCTCTCTCTCACTCTCAGTTGCTTGCTGTTTCAATCTGCAATGTTCCCCAATGTCCCCATCAAAGCTTGCAGACTCTCTCTGAAATTCATGGGAGCCTGCACAAAGCCGTGGCTTGGCAGCCTCCGGAAACTTTGGAAACTCTGACAGGCTGTGATAGCTCACGGTACTCTCTGTATCTCGACTTTCAGCAGCCTTGGTCAGTGATCTCACGCGGATGATCTGCGGCATGACCTCATGAACTCGGCTGGCTGCTGTCCGAGGCGTCACACGGTTCGAGGGTGTTCCAGGCAATGCGCATCATTGGACATGGTCTCGCAGTCGTCCCCAGAGCAAGTCACCTGCACCAAGGCAGAGCGGAGACAAGATGGTCAACGAGCTTGGGGCATTGTGGAGCACACCTTTGTCTCGTGCACTTGCTCTTGGCCGTTGACGTTGGAGTAGGCGATGGCGTGCCTCAAACATCAGAAGCTTGGGCCGTCCTTTGGCCGTCTTTTTGTCTCTCCCACCTCAAACTTCGAGCTGGAAGTGCTGGAAAGCAGTCAGGCAGCGCTCCCTGCAAGGCACGGGCTCAAAGGGTCTTAGGTCTCTTTTTCCAAGCCTCCTAGGCGGGCCCTTTAAGGGGCCCTTATCAGACGCCACCTGACCAGGCTGCTGGCCGCCCAGGATGCCCCAACTGCCTCCGTTGCTTCAGAAGTCGAATTGCTTGGGCTTGGGCTAGGAGAGGGTCTGTTATTTTAGGTCGGCTTCGAGTTCTCTCTCTTTTGGGATCGAAGGAGTGTTCCCGTGGACTGCTTGGCCTTTTTCTTGTTTCACCTTCCACACGACGGTTTTGCTGCGGCAGCTCCTGCTTCAAACTGAAGGCCTTTGGGCAAGCCCTGACACAGATGGGCCTTCAACATTAGGAGCCACTCCTGGGTAGCCGTGGCTGGTGTGGGGCACCTCCATGACAGGCTAAGGATCACCGTGTTACGTCTTGCTAGCAAGCTGGCACAAGTCCACAGCAATGAGAGCGGCAGAAGCCACCTTCCCTGCCCGCGGCCGCAACTCAACTGCGGAGCTGAGAACGGGGCGATCCTGGCATTGACACGCGAGACGGGTAAGCCGCTAGGGCAAAGGATTGCGGGTCTTCTTGCGATAGAGACCATGAACGCTTTTCGTCCTAGTTCGGACTCATACATCATAAGTCTCACTCATCACCTCGCTCTTTTACAGGCCTGGTATTCGGTGATGTCGTTTGCTTTGGCGTTCTTGCCGGGGTTTTTTTGAGGGTTCCTGGGTCTCTTGGCATGTCGTCTTCGCTAAGGCAGCATCTCCGGCTGCTTGAAGCCTTTTTGGTCTCTCTGGCATGTCACTGGAGGCACAAGCTTTCAGAAAGTTCCGGAGGAACTTCAGCGTGCATGGTGTCGCACGGGTGGCAGAACCATGCAATGAGCAGGTATCGGTCTTCCGTGCCTTGCTGGCCAGATCCGCCCAGCACACAAGACAGCATCTGAAAAAAACATGGCAAACTACAGGCAAACGCCGCAGAAGCACGATCATGCCAAGCAGCCGTCGTGCTTCACGCTATGAATGTATGTGTCCTCACGGGAAGGCAACGAAGGAGCATCGCCCACTGCAGCTTCCACAGTCTCCCGTGTGGGTTTCTCGTGGCTCTCATGCAGCAAAGTGGCATCGAACACCAGGGCCTGGGGGGCAACGGAGGCGGCAACACCCGACTTGTGCGATGCGTTCCAGGCAAGTGCACATGTGACAGTGACGGTGGTGGCTTGAACAGATTAGCGAGCCTTCCCTTGCTCCCAGCGAAGCTCCTCAGCTCCCACTGCCATGGTGGCACCTGCACTGCCAGAGGATCTTCGGCACTTCGTGCTGCGCTGGCAAGCTGCATGTGCCTGGAGGCGTGATGAGGCCCAGGTGAACTGCCAGCCTCTCACGCGAGATTCGCCCGAAGACTGTGACTGTTGAGAATCTCAGAAGCGCCCAGAGGGTGCTGCCATCCGCGTAGGCCTAGCTACTTACCACACCACACAGTGCACGCCAACCTGGGGGGCGCATTCCAGAGGTGCCTCAGGTATCGGGGGAGTTTGGGCCACTCAGAGGTGAAAAAACGGCACAGCTTTAAACGTGAGCAGAAACGAGAGAGCTCTCGTCTGGGCGAGCTGCGGCTTGATCCCCATGCCCGGCTGGAGCCGGGCGAAAGCCGCACCCACGTCCCTGCACGCGAGGTGCTTGAGGTGCTTTTTTGGTGCTTGCTGTGCTTGCAACCCGGGCAGCACCGCCCCACAGCCGGGCCTTGCATGGCAGCGGGCGATCTCTGGCCGGGCCGCTAGGAGCTCGCAGCTCTTCTGCGCCACCTGGGAACAGAGAAGAGAGCTCTCTCTTCTCATGTGGAGTGGCATCTGGGCACTGCTTCCATTCGAACGCAGGGTGGCTCGAACGAGCCGTCGGCTTTACGACCTGGATTCTAGCTCTCGACTTCGACCCGGACTCAAGTCCCACATCATGGCGGCCTCGCACGCATGAGGCGCCAGCTCTCGATTGTGGATCCTGGGTTGCGTTGTGACAAGGGCAGCAAAGGACAAAGGCCTTCTACTGCGAGACCTCTCACATAGATCCAGCGCCACGCGGCAAGTTCAGGGGCGCCCAGGACTCGCGGCGGCCAGAGAACCTGAGGCTAAGATGCAGCAAAGTCTTTGGTCTTTAGTGTGTTCTCTTCGAAGAGATCTTGAGCTGACAGACGGATTTCTAGAACAAAGAGGGAACTTCAGGTCGTCCCCAAAGGCCACGCTTTGTCTCCAATGCAGTTGAAAGGCTGAGTCATTGAGACGTGGCCCATGAAGTAGAGTGTGTCGAAGCTGCTTTGATTCAGGATCAAGTCCTGGAAGAGAAGCCCACAGAGTGGAAGCGGGTCAAGGTGAAGCTCAGCAGGCTTACTGGGATCATGCTGGTCTGCACATGTCTGGGCCATGGCTTGGGTCTTTCGGGGGTGTGCAGCCGAGCATCGAGATCTTGTCGGAAGACCTGGTAGTTCCTTGGTTTCCACTCAGAATCGTTGTCCGCCGGGTCAATTGCAATCTGGGTCCCACCTTCAAGCCCTTGACACCCACCCCTCGCATCCGAGAGTCTCTTCCAGCCAGACTGCAAACGGCACCTGCAATGTTATCAGTTGCCTTTTTTGCAGTTGTTCACAAGTGTAATGTGCACTTCCCGATGCTTTTCGTGGTCAAACTATGACTTGCCAAGACGCCGCGGCTGTCGGCCACACAGGCCGCTGGCGGAAGCCCTCGGGAAAGACCTTGAATACGGGAAGAATAAACTGGGCAATGCCATACCAAGGTGATGCCACAGAAGCAAAGCACAGCATGCTGCCGCGACGCGTGCGAGTTGGTGTTGATGTCGTACAGCGACTCGGGAAAGTACACGTGACAAGCTCACCATGTCCGCAATTCAGATTCTGTGGGTTCTATGCGTCGTGGTCAGCTGATGCTCAGCCAGCCCGGATGATCGCAAATGCCTAACCGCAAAAAGCCCTTCTGCCATCTTTGCCGTGGAGCGCCTGCCACTGGCGAAAGCTGAAGAAAGGGTATTCCTTGAGGTCTGCAAACCTTATGCTGGGTCGCAAAGTGCATGGCAAGAGCAAGCCAGCAAGCTCTTGCAGTCTTGCTAGCGAAGTTTTGAGCTGCAGCAGCGTCTGAAGGCAGATGACTACAGCTCCAGTTGAAGGAAACGGGCAAGGGGCAGCTGGTTCGCCCGCTGCAACATCGAGGCTGCATGAACCAAGTCCTGTCGAGGCATAAGGAACTCACATGAGGTACATGGTGAATCGCATCTGCCAACGTCATGTTGCTGGGCTGTGTGAGATCATGCGCGAGATCATGGGTATCGGGGCACTGTCCCCAAGGTTCTCATGTCTTCAAAGGTTACAGATATTGGTCGGAGATATCTAGATCCCACCTATCTGTCTTTGAATGTCAATCTGCAGGTGAGGAATTAACGTTCGAGTTGGCTCTTCTCCTTCCGCCGCGCTGCGAAAGCGGTGCCAACCTGGTCCGGGGCTCGGGGAGGTGGTGATGTAGGGGATTAATCATTATCCACGATGCCGCATGATGCCTTCTGAGCTGAGACAGGCCCTGCCTCTGCGCTGAGCATTATCAGAAAAAGCCATCGCTCGTGGCAAACCTCTGTGCGTATCGGCAACAAGCTGCGTGCAGCTCGACATGTAACGACAGGCCCGCTCATGTGCCATCATGTGCCTCAAAGCGCCCCACGAAGTCTTTATCGCAGAAACGGTTTGGCTTAGCAGCTCAGGCCCTGGCCTTGCTCAGGAAGGTCCCCACACCCATGGACAGGTTGCTGCAGCCGCTGTGCTGCAGGCCTCGGGGTGGCGGCACAACTTGAGCTGTCTCTCAAAGTTGCTCTGCCTGCTCTCACGTTCCACGTCTGGGCGCGTGGCTAAGGTCGTGGAGGCGAACCGACAAGTCTGCAGCCTGCTGAAAGCAGAGAGGGGCATGATTCCGCATCGTCTCAAGGTAGCTTCCGTCATCGCAGACCCTATCTGAAGTCCTCTAGATCGATCTTGCCGCCGTTGTCCTCAAACCAGAAGTACGAGTACAAGGCTTGACCTCGGGTGCGAAAGACAGGCTCGGAATCATAAGCAGCACCGCATATGCAGCTCTGGCCGCGAGGTGAGCATCGCAAGCCCAATCGGAAAGGTCAAAAGAACCCAGCAACCATGAGTCCACGAGAGCTCCCCGGACATGGCATCCTTCAAGCCTCAGCTAGGGCCTCGGCCCACCCCGAAGGCCAACGACGGCAACGCGATTGTGCTCACCTCCAGGGTACACATTGCCAAGGCTTTGCCAGGGTGTCCCGGGAGGGCACTTTCCTGCTCTTGAAGGTTTGGGGACCCAGTGCTTCCCCCACCTCCGCCAGGTCTTTCAACTGCGCAAAGGCCACGCTTCGCTGTCGGGGCTGATCCCAGGCCTGGGACCACCTGAGTGGGCCTTTAGGGGAAGCTTGAATTGAAGCTGGGAAAACGCGGAGTGTGGGTGGGAATTGGGAATTGGCCCGAAAGGTTCTTGTGGCACATCATGCAGGTACATCGCTAACGAGTGTGACTAGAAGGTGGTGGCTCTCGGTGGCTATGTAGATATCGACCATCTTCATTTTAAACGGTATGTACACGTCTCCCCCACTTTGTTCTTATCAAAATGGCTCTTGAAACACTCTTTTTCATGAAGATCATATCTAGGCTATACTCAGCCCAACGGCAGCTAGATGGCATGATGTCGTCCAACCATTTGTAGATGATGCCCAGGTTTTCCTCGGAAGGTGTTGAAATGGACAGAGAGATGCAGCGACTCGGCAGCACAGCGGCCACACTGATGCACGTTGGGGGCATGTGGGGATCAGGACATGGAGCGCAAAGGCGCGCAGTTCATCAATGAATGCAGACACTTCCATCTGGCACAATTGCTTACGGGCATCTGACTCATTCTTGGTGAACGCGGAACTGCCTGACACATAGCAGCGTGTCGCGTGTCCCGGTAACTGTCGATTCATCTGCTAGCCGCACAACAGCTCCTACAAGCGGGAACTTGTGTCGAAGCTGCTTACGCTTTGGCGCCTAGGAAGAGGTCGCTCTCCTGTATCTGCTGCTCTCCTGGGCATCTGAGAGATGCCGAAAGGTGTACTTAGTGTACTTCAAGCACCTTGAGCAGACTCATTGCCGGCAATGGCTCTCAACTTTACAGTGGGGGCCTCCCTTCCGCCGTTCTTGGTACAAAGAAGCCCAGACCTCAAACTAGGGCCGTAAAACCAACGACTCGTCCGAGGGTCCCAGCTGCCCAGCGAGGGAGGCCAAGGCCGGCGGAAGCGCGACCTAAGGCGCTTCGGACACGAGGGGGCTTGAGTCGCGGAGTGGTTCTGCTTGGGCTCTTTTCGTGTTCTGAAGTTCTGAGCCTTTCTAGGCTCACACCAGCTTTATCAAGGGCGATGCAGTGCACAAGTTTGCCTTCGAGGTGCTAGAAGCTTCGGAGCCGCCTTGAGCCAAAAATGATTTTACTTCGAACATCCCCACCCTCTCTTGGTAGGTTGGGCGCTCAGGGAGACTCCGGGGTTGGGCACTCCAGCGAGACTGTGTGGTTGGGCACTTCTGGGGTTGGGCGCTTCTGGGGTTGGGCGCTCCAGGGCGAGGAGAAGAGTTCCGGGCGAGGAGAAGAGTTGAGTTTAAGCTCTAACAACCCCACACCGAGGGTGGGTAAAAAACCCTCACAAAACCCTCACTGTCGAGGACCCCAGGGCTCTGTTGCTCCGAGGGGCAGGGGCGAGATGGAGAAGCACGGACTTCATGGCTCAAGCCAAGGTCTCGAAAAGATCTCTACATGTCCAGTCCCCGCCATGGGATCTATGATTCATGGCCAAGCGGTTGCGGCATGGGACTGTTGAGCCGGAGGCAACCTCCTGACTCAAAGACTTTCAGCCTTACCATACGTTGCTGGAGAATTCGAGTCGCATGAATCTCGAGTCCTTACGGCTTCGGGTTTCGCAGTTTCACCTCGAGCGCGTGTCTGGACGTGGCGGCCTCCCTCTTGCTAGTCTGAAGACTGGCTGCAATCATGCTCTCTCCAAGCTTCATGCAGACCCTTTCGACCCCCAACATGGGCTTGTAAGGGTACGCGATCCGCTGGGTGCCCGTTGTAACCCCAGGCGGAGAAATCTCCGGCTTAGGCTAGCTGCTGAACGTCAACTGCGCACTGGCCTCCAAAGGCTTCGCATCGGGCTCCAGTGGCTCCCTAGCGTGGCATTTCGACGTGGGTACGGAGTCGAAACTTCTGTTAACTGGCGGGGTTGGAGTTGGAGCCGTAGCCTCACAGGACATGCGGGGGGCGCTGAAGGACCTCACTCGTGCTGAGATGAAAGCTATCCAGCGAGAGAAGTAACTCACAAATGTCCAAAAGCGCTGCCGAGTCAATCCCTAAAAGTCTCAGAAACTCCAAATACAGTATAAAAAGAAAGCCTCTGCATCCTAGG